ATAACCCAGAGATGCATTTTAAATAAAAGGACACATTCTACTTATGTAAAAACACGCTGATTCCTGGACCGTCCGCGGGCCGGATTCACAAGGCGATTGGGCCGGATCCAGCCCCCAGGCCTTAATTTGCCTACCCATGGTGTATTCTATGATATGGAAGGGATGCCTTAGCTGTGATTGCGGCATTATTTTGTGATGATAAATACTTAATTCCTGAGTCCAGGTCACAGGCTCACCCTATTCATACCCAAATGTGCTGTGCCCTTAAGGCAGGATTTGTGAGCACAGAGACAATGGCAAATCTTTTCCCATTTCCATCCAAACTGCAGAGGAATAATGAGGTCACTGAAAGAGTCAAAATGGCTTTAGAATTGTTCTCCTGTACTATTTCAGACATGTGGTTTATATACTTATGTATGCGTTTGCCTTGTACATTTATATGTATGCGTTTGCCTTGTACATTTATGAACATTTTATATATATAAATATATATATATATATATATATATGACCTTAGAAGTCCTATAACACCAACATTGTTGTGTGACCTTCCTTTAATTTCCTTTTTCTAGCTGCTTCGACAGCAGGAGGCAGCTGCGGCCGAAGCGGAGGAGAAGGATGAGATGGATATGTCTGAGGGTAAATTTTTGGAAATCTGGAGTTCAAAGAAACGAAAGGTGGATTAGATAGGAGAGTTAATCCCCCACCCCCAAAACAACCTGTAATCTTTGGGGAATTCAAACTACAAGGAAAGCGCCACTTGCTGACAGAGCCTGCACCTTCCACAGCTGGAGAGCAGGCAGAAATTAACAGGTCAAGCTTTCCTTCTCACTGCAGCTTCAGGAATGGGCAGCCCTTCACCTCTGGGCTACTTGATCGGCCATGCAGCTGTGAAAACCAGGGCTCTCCTGAAAGGAGTTTAGCTTTCGTTCCATGCAAAACATCTGCAAACTGCTTCAGGTTTAGCAGAGGACCAGTAAGCGAGGAGGAGAGCAGGGTTTAATTGCTTTGAGATTGGTTTGGGTTCTTTTTTTCCATCAAGCAGTGCATTATTATTATTATTATTATTATTATTATTATTATTATTATTATTGCCGCCCTTTCGTCACAAGTTCTCAGGGCAGTTCACAAAACAATGCACAAGATGAAAAACACAAGTCAATAATTAAAACGAAAACAACTAAACAACAACTCCCCCATCCCACAGACCCATGTAAAAGGCTGTAGTATTGGTATTTATTAAATGTGTAAATGTTCCAAAATTATGAAGCAGAGAGATTTGCCCTCTCCAAATCTCCCCCCCCCAAAAAAAATGAGCTCCTCTCCTAGAGCTGAAACAAAATGCAAGTACCTGAACTGTAGAAACATTGAGAACTGTTGAAAATGAATTCTCCATTTCCACCTTCGAGGAAACTGTTGTGCCATCACATTTTTATTTTTTCGAATGCATATGAAAAGAGTTCAGCGCAGGCCTCCTTCCAGGGTACCATCTGCAGAGTGTTTGTGCCACCTTCCACTCATTCCTCTCTCTCTCTTTGCCAACTGCCCAAAAGCAAAGGTTTGGGCACTTTCTGTCTCCCTCTCTGCATGGTCCCCCCACATCCCTCAGTTTTTCTGTCATCAACCCATCACTGGCAAAGAGGCGATGAAGGCTGGCAGAATTGGAGCTGGGCATGTCAGATGTCTCGGGGAAGACTGGGGGGGGGGGCTTCTGTGATCCGACACTGTCTGATGCAGAATCATAAGTTCCCTCCTCCTGCCTTGAGGTCCCAAGAAAGTGTCAGGAGGAGCAGAAAGTTGTAAAGGGAACGCAACCCAATGTGTACCCCTCTAAACCTCGAAGGAGAGATAGAGAGGTCAGCAAAGAGGTTAAAGGTACAGGGATAGTTCTGGGGGTCCCATACTCTGTTTAGACCCCATGCAGACCCTTTTTCTGCAAGCTGAGTTGCACCCAAACTTCCGAGAGAAGCCACGAACACCTCCCTCCCAGTGAATCGAAGCATTCTGTCAGGCTCCGGAGAAGCGGCTTCCTCCCTCTCTTTGGCCGTGGATAATAAATAATAATAATATTAAATTTTTATTTATATCCTGCCCTCCGCAGCCGAAGCCGGGCTCAGGGCAGCTAACAAAAATAAAATAATACAACATTCTAAAATCATTTCATTAAAAAATTACTTCAAATCAAATTGATGGCAACCATTGGGTTGGAGTTCTGTAAAGATTGCGAAAGGAGGGAGTCAGGCTGCGCCCTGACCAAAGGCCTGGTGGAACAGCTCCATCTTGCAGGCCCTGCGGAAAGATGTCAAGTCCCGCAGGGCCCTGGTCTCTTGTGACAGAGTGTTCCACCAGATCGGAGCTGCAGCCGAAAAAGCCCTGGCTCTGGTTGAGGCCAGCCTAACCTCTCTGTGGCCCGGGACCTCCAAGATGTTTTTGTTTGAAAATTGTAAGTTCTGTGGGACATACCAGGAGAGGCAGTCCCGTAGGTACGAGGGTCCTAGGCCGCACAGGGCTTTAAAGGTCAAAACCAGCACCTTAAACCTGACCCTGTACTCCACCGGGAGCCAGTGCAGCTGGTATAGCACTGGATGAATGCTGAGGAGTCTCGCTGCGGCATTCTGCACCCGCTGGATTTTCTGGGTCAGTCTCAAGGGCAGCCCCACGTAGAGTGAGTTACAATAATCCAGTCTGGAGGTGACTGTCGCGTGGATCACAGTGGCTAGGTCAGGGCGAGAGAGGTAAGGAGCCAACTGCTTAGCTTGGCGGAGATGAGCAGAACAAAGCAAAAATAGTCTCTTACCATTGAAAGAGATGTTAATGATCACAGCGGAAGAGCAAAGAGTCCATTCTCAGAGCGCAGGTGCTCCCAATTAAGGTTTACACCCACTTCCTCCCCAAGTCACTTCCTCGTCTTGCAACCTGATCTCGCAACCACTGCGCCTTCTGTGCAGCTACCTTATGTAATCTCTGTGACCTTGTACAGATCGGCTGGACACTTTCTGGCGAACCAGAGTCTATTAACTCTCTCTCTCCCGGTTCTTCTTCTCCTAGCTGTTCACCACCCAGTTCTTCCCAACTGTTGTCTTCTGAACTATGCCCCTCTGCGAATCGCTGTTCCAAATCTATACTGTCCCACTGCCCCTGGGAAGTGTCAGGATCCTGATTGGGACATTAAATAAGTTGGAGTTCTTGTTATTAAATATACCAAGAAAAAAGCACACCAAGAACTCTGGCCTGTATAAGTTTCAGTAGTGGGAGTGGTCCCTACTCACAAATCAGTAGTCAATTGTAACAAAAACTAATCCATTCAAAAGTATGTATTCTGACAAGGATTACAAACTCAAACTCATAAAGATATGTATAATACAATAATTCGTTACAGTATTAAAGATAAGAGTTTATGTGTAGAGATAAGTTCATATTAGTCCATAGTAAGATTTGACGTGAAAATCTTAGTTTCAATCACTGAGCAGAAGTCAGAAGTCAATTATGGATCAGAAACCAGGACTGTTTTGATGTATTCGCCTTCATCAGCTGGAAGTATCAAACATTACATGAAAATACATTCAAATTCTAAATTATCATAAATCATAAAACAGTATTACGCAGCATTTGGTTCCTTACCTAATTTTTAAGGGGTCGTGTAAGTTTGAAAAATTTGTATAAATATATCCTGTTATTTTCTACGTTTCTCAGAGATAACGCCTGAAAATAACGAATATTAATAATTACATGTGTTGGATCAAATTAAAAACTTTAAAGCAGCATATAATCATATGATTCCTCACCTAAGTGTGGGTAGATCAACGTGTACCTTGAGCTTTTCTGTGAGTTTGATTTGCGAGTAGGGACCACTCCCACATTTGAAACTTACCGTATTTTTCACTCTATAAGACGCACCAGACCACAAGACGCACCTAGTTTTTGGAGGAGGAAAACAAG